TTTGCAACTGGTCATTTAAGGGATCTAATTTCATTCTTCTACTGTCTACTCAGTTTCCCAACCATTATTTTAAGTGACTGACTGTCTTTTATCCCCTGTGTGTTGCCAGTGTTTGTTAGAAGTCAGTCAGTTGGCTATGGTGTGGATCCATGGACACGTTCCTTGTTCTGTTCTGGTGGTTCTTGTGTCTCTCTGTCAGCTTCATGCTTCTGGTTATTACAACTTTGCAGTTTATTTTGAAATTATTTAGCATAATTCCTTCTGCTTTTTTGTTGCTAAACATTGTTTTATCTATTAAAGCTTTTGTATGTGCATGCATGTGTGCATGCATGTGTGTGTATGTGCATGTGTGTGTGCATGTGGGTGTCTGTGCATTTGCATATGTGTATGTACATGCACACATGTATGAGTTTCCTAGAGAACTCTTAGGGTTGTTTTCCCTGGTTCTATGAAGAATGGCTTTGATAGGGATTATAATGAATCCATGGACAACTTTTGTCTATATGTACATTTTAATAGTATTGATTCATCCAATCTATAAACACAGAATGTATTTCAATTTATTGTATTTTTCCTTCAGTTTTAAAATTCTATTGTATATAGTTTTCATTGTAGAGATTTTTCACCCTTTTGATTAGATGTACTCCTATGCATTTTATTTTTTATAGTTACTGAGAAATGGGATAACTTTCCTGATTTCTATTTTAGATAATTTGCTATTGGTATTTAACAACACTAATTTTTACATCTTGTATCTTGCAACTTTGCTAAATTTGTGTATTAATTCCCATAGGTGTTTGGTGGAGTCTGTTTTTCTCTATGTAAGACCATGTCATCTGCAAATAGCAACAATTTAACATCCTCTTTTCCAATATAGATGCCCTCATTTCTCTCCCTTGCTTGATTGTTCTGCCTAGGGATTTCAGTGCTGCGCTGAATACAAGTGATGGTCTTGTTCTGGATATTGTGAGAGAATGCTTTCAGCTTTTTCTCGTGCAGTATGAGATTATATATTAGCTTATTATATTTGCCATTATTATGTTGGAATATATATATATTATGTATATTCTTTCTATACCTAACTTGTTTAGTGTTGAATGTTTAATTTTATCAAAGACATTTTTAATGGACTGAGGTGATCAAATAGTTTTTGTCCTTCATTTTGGTAGTTTATTTTGCTTATTGATTTACATATGTTTAACTATTATGAATAATGATAATAATCATTTTAATGTTTGCTAATATTTTGTTGAGGATTTTTATGTCTGTGTTCATCAGGGTTATTAACCTGTTAGAACTGAGATGTTCTGGTGTGGCTGGAGTAAACAACAGGATAAGGCTGGCATCATTGACTGTGTTTTGAGAGACTGCCTCATACTCGATTCAGTTTTGTTGAATAGTTTAAGAAGAACATGACATCAGTTCTTCTTTAAATGTTTGATAGAACTCAGCAGTGCAGTTGTCTTGTCCTGGGCGTTTCTTTGATGGGAAACTATTTTTTAAATCACTGATGTAGTTTCATTATTTGTTATTGATTTCACACACAGTCACAGGCACTCCGGGGGAGCCGAAGCTGACACAGAATTCTATGGAGCTGCAGTTCCAGGTGGTTGCGAGCCACCTTAAGTGGGTACTAAAAGCCAACTCAGGGTCTCTCTAAGAGCAGTGTGCACTTAACTGCTAAGCCATCTGCAGTCCTCGGCTCTTCATATTTTCATCTTTAATATTTGTGTTCATTTGTTTTTTCTCAACTTGACACAAGATCAGTTCAACCAAAACCTTAATAGGAAAAAAATGCCTCTATCATATCGGTCTTTAATCAAGTCTTTGGGGCATTTTCTTTTCCTTTTTTCCCAACATAATATTTTTACTAATTATTTGGGAATTTCATACAATGCACTTCAATCATACTCGCTTCCCATTCCTCCAAGGTCACCCTCCTACCCTTGTGTCCCCCCACCTCAAAAAAAGAAAAATACACCAAATCCAATTTGTGTTGCCATATACTCATTGGAGCATGGTCAAACTCCCAGTCGCCAGTTCTTCCCACCCCCGCCCCTGCCAGAAGCCATCAACTGTGAAAAGCTACACTTCAGCATCTTTATCACAATTTTTAAGGGCTCTCTTCAATAGCTTCCTGTCTGGACTGTTTCTTTTTTGGCGTGTGTGTGTGTGTGTGTGTGTGTGTGTGTGTGTGTGTGTGTGTGTGTTGAGGGGAGGGGTGGGGGTGTTGTCACAGAAGCCGTCTGTGTCTCTTGTTCTCAACTATGAGTCTGCAGTCATCGATACTGTTGCAAAAGAAGCTTCCCTGCTCATATCAGCCCACAGCAGCACAGATCATGAGCTTCCTCGTGGTTTCCGGTGGCAGCATGGACAGACATCCATGAGGCCTCCAGCAGCACCAGGGTCCATGGACCTCAACATGGCTTCAGGCAGCACTACAGACCACCGACATCAACTTGGCCTCCAGTGGCCGCATAGGCCACAGACATCAACATGGCCTCCAGAGAGCACAAACCATAGAGGTCTTTCAAGAAGGCTTAATCCAGAAAATAAACCAATCTTCATCTTGGATATCTTGCTGTTGCTCAGAGTCAGGGTGATCATGCAACTGGGCAGCACGTTCAGGGTCAGTACCTGTTCAAGCTCCAGGCTGCTGTGTGCCAACCTGCCCTTGGCATGAGCAGCTCTGCCAGTACCCTAGGCATGACCATCATGATTTCAGCCCATGGCAATACCATTGCTCCATGCTTTCCCCTGCCAGCAAGGCAAGCAGCGGAGGAAGAGGCAGCAGCACTGGTAGCCCCATGCCTTGGGCCAGGCCCAAGGGCCTAGTGGCGGCACTGACCCACGAGGCAGTAGCTGGGCAAGGCAGGCCAGGTGGTGACCTGAGCCTCCTGGCAACTGGAGAGCTGACCCCACTTGGCAACAACATGTTCCTTTGTCCACTGAGGCTGGGCTCACATGCCTCCCATCGCCGCTGTGTCTAGTTCCTCTTCTCTCTGATGCACACGCTGCTCTGTTCATTCCACCACCAATTTTTTGCGATTCCATGAAACCACTTAATTTTTTTCTTTTTCTTTATTTCTGTCTGTCTGTCTTTTTTATTGTTGTTGCTTTGGTTTTGGTTGCCCCCCCATAGGGTTTCTTAAGTAACAACTCTGGCTGCCCTGGAACTCGCACTGTAGACCAGGCTGGCCTCAAACTCACAGGCATCTTCCCATAAGAACTGTCTTTTTTAGTTGTTCCTGAGTGTGGTTCTGTAGGTTTATCCTCCGTTGCCTCATCTCCCCCGATGCCTCCGTGGGTCTCTCAGGCTCCTCGAAGTCGCCCACAGCCCTGCCGGTGCCGGTGACTGCTGCCATCTTGAATCAAGTCTTGCATTTTCTTGATTGATGTGGGTGGGCAACTCCTGGGCAGGCGGTACTGTTTATATAAGAAAGGAAACTGAGCAGTCCATGGAAAGCAAACCAGTGTTCCTCTATTGTTTTTGCTTTCGTTCCTGCCTCCAGGTTCCTGCTGTGCTTGAGTTCCTGCCTTGGCTTTGCTCAGGGCTGGACTGTGCTTAGAGAATAAATAAAATAAATGCTTTACTCCCCAAGTTACATTGGCTTATGGTCATCATAGCAATAGAAAGCAAACTGTAACAGTATTTTTATTATCTATTTCATTTTCTTATAATCTGATATTTATTTTTGTTGCTAGAGTTTTTTTGCCTGGCCCACAGTCAGGGCAAATCTCTCTCACCTGCCAGTCCCAAGCCGCTCAAACCCAACCAAGTAAACACAGAGACTTATTTTGGTTACAAACTGTATGGCTGTGGCAGGCTTCTTGCTAACTGTTCTTACAGCTTAAATTAATCCATTTCTATTAATCTATACCTTGCCACGTGGCTTGTGGCTTACCGGTACTTTACATCTTCCTTGTCCTGATGGCGGCTGGCAGTGTCTCTCCCTCAGCCTTCCACTTCCCAGCTCTATTCTCCTCCTTGTCCCGCCTACACTTCCTGCCTGGCCACGGGCCAATCAGTGATTTATTCATTGACCAATCAGCAACATATTTGACATACAGACCATCCCACAGCATATTTTCTCTTTCCTTTTTCTAATTTGGGGTTTGGTTTGTTAGTTCTTTGGCATGAAGCCATAGGTTGCGCATTTAAGGTTTTCTGCTTCTTTCACACAGTCACTGATTATTGTCAATTTGCCTCTTGACACAGTTTTTGCCCCATCACAGTTTCAATGTGTGTGTCTCCACTCTCATTTGTTTCATGAAAAATTTACATTTATTCCTTGATCATTGGTTGTTCAAGAATAAGTTATTTCACATCCATTTCATTGTATCGTATTAAACTTTTCCTTACTGATTTCTAGTTTTATTGCAATATGATTGAAAATGATACTTGATATGACTTCAGGGCTTTTTAAAATCTTGTGTACATGGTGGGAGGTGTGTATGTGTGCGTGCGCGTGCATGTGTGCACATACCATTGCACATATGTAGCGGACAGCCTCGGGCATTGAGCCTCACCTTCCACCTTGTTGAGACGGCATCTTCTGTCACCCTGCATACACCAGGTCAGTAGTCTAGACGGCTTCCGGGAGTCCTGTGTCTGCTTCCCATCTTGCTGTAGGAGCTCTGATATTGTAGAAACATGCCTCCATGTCTGGCTTCCTGTGGACTCTGAGCCTCTGAACTCAGGTCTTCGCACTTATAATGGCAAGCACCCTACCCACTGAGCACCTCCTCAGCCCTGGACTTCAGTCTTTAAAAGAAGTAGTTGAGGCTTGCCTTCTGGTCAACCACTCTTGAGTGGGTGTGCTGAAGCAGGAGAAAGGACAGTCAGAGGCGACTCCGGGGTTCAATCTACAGCAATGTCATGTTGATAAAGGGAGTGAGCACATTATGTTGGGGAAGAATAGCCTGTGAGACAGGGATTGCAACTCAGGAGGATCACGAGGGCTGAGTCCCGACTCATCTGTTGGGTTTGTGGTTTTCAGGGAATTGATGCTGGTTGCCCATAAGAAAAGCATCGAGCAGATGCAGGAGACCCTGAGACAGAAGCTGCTGAGTGATGATAGCTGGAGGGAGAAGGTAACACTGGCTCTCATCAGCATGTGTCTTGTTTGCCTTGGAAACATCCTGTCCTTCTGCCAGAAGACTATTCCACATAGATGTCTCTGCTTCTCTGAATACTTTTCATTCCATCTGGAATTTCCCACTCCAAATATACTTAAGATATATGCATTTTCCAAAATATTAGACAATGTGATAGGAAGTAAAAAATGGAAAATAAAAAATAGATTTTGAAATCTTGTAATGCTAGGATTTTTCTCAGTTCTTATACAGAAAACCATAATTTTAAACTTTAAACATTTACCTTTTTCCAGCAAGTGTCAGAATCTGCATTTGATCATATTTGTTAAAGCATAGAAATACTAATAATTCTCACTTCTTTGCTTCTAAGATAAGAAAATAGAAATGATTTTAAATTATTAGTTATGAAAATTCGACCAGTTTACTCTGACAGGATTAAATGAATAAAAATTTCTCTTTTTATTACTAAGAATGATTGGCTCTCAGAGCATGAAAAATATCCACTGTGGTCTTTGGACTTCGCTATATTGTTCAAGGTTTCAACAATGAACAACTTAAATACAACTAAGTAAAGCAAGTCACGCTTTTGAAGCTATAGTCTCCACTTTCTCAGCAGGCGCAGCCCCCCTCACCAAGGACTGGTGATGAACCCCTCCCTGCCACAAATTTCAGTACTCCTCGCTGACCCCTGGAACCCCGCTGGACTCTGGGCCTAAGCCTCTCCACCGAGCTCTCCTCCTGCTGTGTCTTGTATCCAGCCCAGGCCTTTTCCCTCAGTGTCATCATTATAGCAAAGGTGCTGGTGCTCTGTTTGGAATCCAAGGCCATACACATGCTAGGCAGAGCACTACCCATGAGCTCACCCGGCCCCCAGCTCACTGTTCTTCTGCGGTTTAAAGTTTCTCCAGAACTGGAGCTTTCTACTGAAATTCGCGTGGTGTGGCTATGCCCCTTGTGATTTGTTCAGCCACTGTATCGGGTTCTTGTTGGGGATCGGATCCTGGTGTAACCTCAGCCACCTTCAAGCTGCAGCCTCCACTTGTAGCCCCTCGCCGTGCCAGCCAGCATAGGGAAACCGTTTGTGCGCTGTTAATGCTGTGCTGGATTTGAAATCTGTCGCTTCCATTTCCAGACATCCTCAACCAGCACTAGCCTGCTGTGAACCAATGCCTTCTCCCTTGTTCTTAGATAGTCAGATTATGACTATAAAATGACCATCTGGGTATGGTTACCCACCTGTTACCCCAGTGCTGAGGCTGGGGCAGGAAGAAGGACTTTGAGGCCAGCCTGGGCTGAAGGGACGTTGTGTCAAGAAGAAAATCACTGTTAAGTGAGTTGTACATAGGTGGGAATAAAATCTGAGACTGTGGGCTGAAGTTGCTAGAAATGCTCCAGTCTAACCTCGTCTAGCTGACCTTTTTGTTCTTGGGTAAGTCTCCCACTTCTAATCTTTGATGATATTGAATGGGCTTATTTAGATGGCCTGCTCTTCTTCATTTCCCCGACCCTTGTCATTTGAATGTTTAAACACTCAAAAAGATGATCCTCCTAACATGTACAATGCCTTTGGTTCCATTCTAGGACCACCAAAACTATCAACCAAACAGTCCAAAATAGGAGGCTTCTCCTTTAATGCGAGATGTTAGAATAGTTTTGGCCCTGTGGTGAAGGCCTAGAAAAGTACCTGCCGTGGCCACAGAACTTGAGATGAAAACAGCTTTTGGGAGAGCATGTGTGGATGTTTATTATGAGATTCTCTAAATGTCCTGTTTTTGAGATTGTTGTGGTAGAGTTAATCCAGATAGAGGTATGGCAATCATTTCCTCCAATCCCTGAGGTCTTCCTCTTAGGCTGATGGTGTGAATGTTCCTGCCTTTCCCCACCCTGCTCTCCACACCCCCACCCCACTGGGGTTTTAGTACCTCCCATTGAAGAAGGGTCTTTATGGCTCATCCCAGTTCTTCTACTCAGAGGTCAAGCTAGTGCTAGCATCTGGCATTTAAAAAATCAGTGTTCTTGCTTTATCCAGAGTCAATCCATGGTGGAAAGACTCCTGTGTAATGTTGTAAAAGTTCCTAAGTGCTTGCTGTGTCCAATGCATTATGCTTATCTCACAGATACCTTGGTATGTATAATTTCCTGTAGTGTAAATGGGTGTCTCATTTTGTTGAGAGGACATCATTTCTTAATAAATGTTACTGTTTAACCAGCAGTAAATCATGCTCAGGCCAGTAAAGTCAGAGAATAATAAGACTGTCTTGACTGTGTTAGCTATTAAGACTATGAATAAAAAGTTCCCTAAAAGTCCTCTCATGAGAAAGGAGAATCACTAATATGACATTGTCATCTCTTTCTTGGGTCACTGTGCCTTTGCGTAGGAATGAAGTGTTCTCTTTACAAATATATAATGCACAAATTAGAATATACTTAATAACTTAAATGCTTTTAACATTTTAAAAAGTAGATAACAATTTGTGCCTGTGCTTAATTATTTTAGCGTATGTAAAAAAAACACATAATAGGATCAATAGTTGCTATGCAACAAAGAGGGCACATTTTCAAATAACTGTTTACTGATTGTCAGGAATTTTTGTTTATTTTAAGTATTGCTTGGATACAAAGAAAGCAAATTAATGGGCATGGTGAACCTTTAAAATTGGTTCCAAGTGCACAATATATTGTTACTAATCATTTAAAATTTTGTGATGGAAAAACCCTCTTGCAGCCTGAATAATTATATAACCAATTCGTATCACTTGTTGACACTCACTTTTTAGTATAGCAGACAAATTCCAACCAAATATTTTCTTAGATTATCATTAACATATTACAGTCTAGAAACATTTTGGAAGTGTACTAATGACCTCATTTTTAGTACATAGACCCTTTGAAAACAAACAAAACCTTATTTCATGGCTAGAGTAACCACATTGACAGTGAAAGGCAGAGAAGTAAACTTCACTTCAAGAAATAATGAACTCCAAATTTGCCAGGTTGGTGGCTCATATCTTTAATCCCAATACTGGGGAAGCAGAAACAGGAGAATCTCTGTGAATTTGAGGCCAGCATGGTCTTCAAAGAAGAGTTCCCGGCCCCCCAGGACCCTGCCTCAAAAAACAAACAAAAGAGAAATAATAAATTCGAATTAGAAGAAACAAACAAACCTCATTCTTTTTCCTGTAGAATGTTCAAATGACCTAATGCTTCCTAATGTGTTGTAATATGCAATCAATGAGGTAAAAAGACCAGCATGCAAAATACAAAGTTTGACAGTGATGAAGTTATTTATATAATGTCATTTGTAATTATACATAATAAACATGTGGCTAAAATATTGAGGGCATAGCTTAATTTTGAATTAATAAAATCTAAACATTTTAGTTCTAGAATCATCTGCAAGGAATGTCTGTTACAAACCAACAATCCAGATAATGAAATGGCCCCATTATTAGAGGGCTTGCTGTACACCAGGCTTTGCGCTGAATCCTTTTTATAAGTGTAGTTTAACTGTTACAACATTATCGTTCCAGTTTTACAGATGAAAAATGAACAAGACTGGGAGAGGTTAGGTAGTGTATCAAGGCTATAGAGCAAGGAAGTGAGCTGACACTAACTTCATCCTCCAGGATCTAAATGCAAAGTCCAAGACTTCTGCATTTCACAGGGTACAGTCACATGACCAGATTTACTCTTCCATCTGAACAAATAAAACAGTGGTTTCAAGACATCTGACAGTGACAGGACCTGTGAGTGGGTAGCGTAGTCCCTTGATCGTCTTCAGGCTGTGACACGGGGAGTGGGAAACAGGCCGAGCTTGGCAGGTTCTGTGAACCGAGGAGGCCGTGGAGATGAAAGCGCCCACAGCTCTCCAACTAGTGTTTGCAGAAGAGCGTTCCAAAGAGGAAGGCTGCAGGTGATCTAGAACGTCCCTTAGTGTGGGAATGATCAACATGTGCGTGTTGAGACTTCAGCCAGGGAAGGCCCATCTGAGAGAAGTAAAGAATCAAATGCTTACATCCAGCCAGGCGTTAGCTTGTTTTCACCACAGACTCGAGAACCTATAGTACACAAGACACTCAGAAGGCTCCTCCATAATTGGCATTCCATTATTGGGCATTGTTAGCCCTAAATTAGATGAGCTGACCCTGACAGATGTCAAAAGGAAAACTTAAAGTAAGCTGATTCTTTTTTTGTTTGTTTGTTTGTTTTGTTTTTCGAGACAGGGTTTATTTGTGTAGCTCTGGCTCTCCTGGAACTTGCTCCGTAGACCCGACTGGCCTCGAACTCACAGAGATCCACCTGCTTCTGCCTCCCAAGTGCTGGGATTAAAGGCATGAGCCACTACTGCCTGGCTAAGAATCTCAGAATAGATACCACACATATCCATAGAAATACAAACATATCCAGATTCTGGAAGACAAACAGATCCCAAGCACAAGCTCCTACCAAGGTAACATTCACAGTCTCTGTGTCTGATCCATAATTTCCACACACAGAAAGAACCAGAAGAATAGAATTCATAATTAAAAGAAAAATCAATGAATAAACACTGACTCAGAGGTGCCGTGAGTTGGCCCAGTCTCCCAGAGGACCCAGGTTCAGTTCCTAGCACCCACATGGTAGCTCACAAGTGTCTGTAACTCCTGTATCAAGGGATCTGATGCCCTCTCCTGGAATCTATGGGCACTGCACATACAGACATTTGTGCAGGCACAACACTCATGCCCATAAAATAAAAATAAATATTTTAAATGACTCGGAAAGATACCAGTGTTAAGATCAGATGATAAGAACATAAAAACCATTGACATGAGCGCTTGCCATATGTCCAAGAGGTAAAGGAAACTTCTATCATGCTAAGTTTAGTCATGTAAGCTAAAACAAAATAAACATGGAAAAAGTGATTCAGACAAGAGTACTAATAGAAATTTAGACACTCCAAAGTCCAGTGCACCTCAAAACACAGCGAATAGAAAAGTTTTTTTGATTAAAAGAAG